CTCAGTGCAGAATTCTACCAGAAATTAAAGAACAGCTTATACCAATTCTTCTCAAAGTATTCCACGCAATAGAAGCAGAAGTGTCTTTGCCAAACTCTTTCTACGAGGCTTCAATGACCTTGATACCAATCCACACAAATACATAACTAAGAAGAGAACTTCAGACCAATATCCCTCATGAACTTGGATGCAAAAATGCTCAATAAAATGCTGGCAAATCAGATCCAAAAGCACATCAAAACAATCATTCACAATGATCAAGTAGGTTTCAACCCATGATCATCTCACTAGATGCAGAAAAAGCCTTTGGTAAAATCCAACACCCCTGCATGATAAAGGTCTTGGGGAGATCTGGGATAACAGGAACATACCTAAACATAATAAAAGCTATATACAGCAAACCAAGAGCCAACGTCAAACTAAATGGACAGAAACTCAATGTGATTCTGCTAAAATCAGGTACAAGACAAGGCTGTCAACTCTTGCCGTACATTTTCAATATTGTACTTGAAGTTCTACCTAGAGCAATAAGGCAACAAAAGGAGATCAAGAGGATACAAAACGGAAAGGAAGAGGTCAAACTTTCACTATTTTCAGATGATATGATAGTTTGCATAAGCGATCCAAAAAGCTCTACCAGGGAACTACTACACTTGATAAACACTTTCAGCAAAATGGCAGGATACAAAATCAATTCCAGAAAATCAGCATCCCCAGTCGACAAAAGGGCTGAGAAAGAAAACAGAGAAATATCACCCTTTACAATTGCCACAAACAACATAAAATACCATGGGGCAATGTTAAGCAAACAATTGAAAAACCTGTATCGCAAGAACTTTGAATATTTAAAGTAGACATCAGAAAATGGAAAGATCTCCCATGCTCTTGCATAGGTAGGATCAATGTAGTAAAAATGGCAATCCTGCCAAAAGCAATCTACAGATTCAATGCAATCCCCATTAAAATACTAGCACAGTTTTTCACAGACATTGAAAGAACAATAATCAATTTTGTATGGAAAAACAAAAGACCCCAGATAGCCTAAACAACATTATTCAACAAAGCAACATCTTGAGGATCCACCATCCCTGACTTCAAGCTTTACTATAGAACTGTAGTCCTGAAAAGAGCTTAGTATTGGCACAAAAATAGACAGATAGACCAATGGAATCGAATTGAACACCCTGATATTAACCCATACATGTATGAATATCTGATATTTGACAAAGAAGCTAAAAATATACAATGGAAAAATGAAAGCATCTTCAACAAATGGTGCTGGCATAACTGGATGCTGGCATGTAGAAGAATGTGGATAGATAGATCCATGTCTATCACCATGCACAAAACTTAAGTCCAAATGGATCAAAGACCTCAATATAAATCCAGCCACACTGAAACACTTATAAGAGAAAGTGGGTGGTACCCTTTAACGAATTGGTACAGGAGTCTGCTTCCTGAACATAACATCAGTAGCACAGACAATGAAGTCAACAATTAATAAATGGGACCTCCTGAAACCGAGAAGCTTCTGTAAGGCAAAGGGCACAGTCAACAAGACAAAAAGTCAGTCCACAGAATGGGAAAAGATATTCACTAACCCCATATCTGACAGAGGGCTGATCTCCAAAGCTTTCAAAAAACTCAAGAAGCAAGTCTGCAAAACACCAACGGATCCAATTAAAAATTGGGCTATGGAACTAAATAGAAAATTCTCAATAGAGGAGTCTAAAATGGCTGAGAGGCATTTGAGAGAGTGCTCAACATCCCTAGCCATCCAGGAAATGCAAATCAAAACAACTCTGAGATACCATCCTGTCAGAATGGCTAAAATCAAAAATACTAAAGACAGTTTATGCTGGAGAGGTTGTAGAGAAAGGGGAACACTCCTCAACTGCTGGTGGGAGTGCCAACTCATACAGCCACTTTGGAAATCAGTATGGAGATTCCTCAGGAAAATGGCAATAAGCATTCCACACGACCCAGCAATTCAACTTTTAGGCACATATCCAAAAGAAGCACATTCATACTACAAGGACAACTGTACCACTATTCTCATAGCAGCATTATTTGTAGTAGCCAGAACATGGAAGCAACCTAGGTGCCCCTAAACTGAAGAGTGGATAGAGAAAATTTACATAAAGTCATACTATTCAGCAGAAAAAAAATGGAATCCTGAAATTTGCAGGCAAATGGATGACACTAAAAAAAACAACATCCTGAGTTTGGTAACCGAGGCACAAAAAGAAAAACTTGCTATGTACTCTCTTATATATGTATTTTAGACATAGATTTTGGGAGTGCCAGCCCACAATCCCACTGCCAGAGAGTCTGGTGAAAAGAACCTTCATCCAATGGCTGATGGAAGCAGAGGCAGACTCCCACAGTTAAACACTAATCTGAACTCAAGGAACCCACTGATAGAGAGGGAAAGACTAATGAGCAAAGAGGTTAAGACTGGACTGGTTTATCCCCCAGAAACAGCTTACCTGACAAGGGTTAGCTCTTTAATCCCAGACTGATGGCTGAGAATCCAGCATGGTACTGATCAAGACCCCCTGAATGTGTGTGTCAGTGAGGAGGCCTAGGTGATCTATTGGACCTTGGGTAGTAGATCAGTATTTATCCCTGGCATACAAATGGAATTTGCATGCCCATCCAACAATGAGAGATGCACTTTCAGCCTGGACTCTTGGGAGATGGTCTAGGCCCTGCTCTGAATGAAATGACAGACAATGGACACCCCCAATGGAGGGCCTTACCCTCCATGGGGAAATGACATCTCCTCCTCTGGCAACTTTTAACTGTCAGTGGTTCCTTAGGAAGGGTAGGACCTTGTCTTACTTAGGATTTCTATGCTGTGAAGAGACCAAGGCAACACTTGTAAAAGAAAACATTTAATTCAGGTGGTTTTCTTACAGTTGAGAGGTTCTGGAGAAGGATCTGGGAGTTCTTACATCTTTAACCTCAGGCTACAGGAAGAGGTCTGTATCACTAGACAGGGCTTGAGCATATATGAGACCTCAAAGTCTGCCTCCACAGTGACACATTGCCTTCAACCATACCGCACTTTCTAATAATTCCATTCCCTACAGATCCCAAGAAGCCCTCCCCAGGCAGAGTTGAATGGGGAATGGCCCCATTTCATGCAGGAGTTGCCATTCACTTAAAGTTTTTATCTATAAATACCTAAAGTTCAACCCTCATGAAATTCAAGTTCAATTCCTTACCACAGTTTTGTATTCTATTATGCCCTACAGGTGATCCTTCTCTGGATAAAATCTATAACTAGACCCATTAATTCCTTTCCTACAGCATTGCTCTAGAGTCTTCATACATACAAAATCTGTTCATAGAAGCCTGTTTATATTCTCCATGGTTCACTCAAAAATACCTTTATTATTCTGCCTCTATTTATTAGTCTATTTGTAAATGGCCCCATCATGAATGAATTTCCAAAGTTATCTCTTTTGTGGTTTTCCTTGGAAATGCTGGCTGATTATATTTTTAACTAAGTAGTTCCTCTACGTTAATAAAGGAGATATTGTTATACATTCTTTCTGCTGACTTCTAAGAAGCAACATGAAGTGTAGATAAATTTGAATCGTTAACAAGTGAACTCTAAACAGTTTCATTTTAACTATGTCGGGTCAGGAGAGATCATTCAGATATTCACAGTGACCCATTTCAAGCTTGACCTATGCTTTGATATTTTAGTCTCATAAAACACTAGGCTATCCACAAAACTAGGAACTCACAATTGCAGTCAACCCTGTTTCTTGGTTTCTTACACAGCATTCAATGGCACTTCCTGTCCTCTTGGCCTCTAATTGAACAGAGAAAAGACTGTCACAATAGAACCATCCTGGTTCAGCTCTGCAGGCAATGCACCCTTTGGGTCACATACTGCCAGATTCCGTGACAGGCAGGTGCACCAGGCATTGTTGCTCTGGGACTATACAAAAGACAGATTATTTGCTAGCTGGAAGAAAGAGGCGTGTGTTTACGCTCCACTGCAGCACTGAAGTGACACGGTGCTGCTAGAGACAGTGAGGTGCCGTGCTTACAGTTCCTGTTTATAAAAGTTGACTTGAAAAAAAGAGATTTTCATTCATAAAAGTGAAGAAAAACAAGCACTTTCTTGAAAATCCACAAATCCTACATGAGATAAATTTAGCTCTCTGTTCATCTAGCAGAATGTTTATGACTTTTTATTACAAATACCAAATAGTTACATTAAAAATTTCTTTTAATATAGAGGTTTGAACCCATGGCCTCCCACAGGCTAGAAAAGTGCCTTATTGCCAAGCTGTATTCACATCCTTATTTTTCTTTCCTTTTCATTTTGAGATAGGGTTTCACTAAATTATCCAATCTAGCTGTGTAAACTCACTCTCTCTTTAGTCTAAACTAGCCCTGTACTGAAATGGCAGTCATCTTGCCTTAGCCTCCAAGATTAGTAGACAGGCTCACAGGTCTATGCTGTTAGTCTCTTCAAAGGGATGTGAACTTTCCTAGACCCACTCACCAACATCCATCCTTATATTTTTTGGTTGTGTGCCTAGTCTTTAATGGCTGAGCCATCTCTCCAGCCCAACATCCATTTTTGTATGCCTTTATTTCATATGCTAGAAATACATGGTTTCATGAACCCTACCCACTTCTTCCAAAGACATAACTTTAATTTAAAACTGCATATACTGACAATAAGGGTACTTGTTTAACATCTTTCCTAAACAAGAAAACCAGCCTGACATGGGGATCTAGGTTCCAGAGAGGCAGACTTGCTTCCCTCATATGTACAACCTGCTAGCCAGATCCCATGCTGCATCTCATGCTAGAAAGTTGCCTTAAACAGGTGAATACAAGTCTTATTTCTGAACACAGGATACTGATCACTCATGGAATGTTTGGCACATGCTCCTGTGCTACCAGATAATGTGTAAACTAGATGTTTCTCACATCCATCGTTGTGTGTGGATTTCACCCTTGAGACTGACCTTGGATCGTGGCGGAGCTCGGATGTACCACTTGCAATCCACGGCTTCACTGGCAGAAGCTTTTCCTTCCTTCAGAATTTGTATGGACTCCACGATTCCTTCAGGACCGCCCATCTCAAACTCACACGCTAAACAATAAAATGCCAAACACACACAAAAATGGAGCTTGAATAATAAACCCAAAGTATACTTCATCACAGAAAGCAAAGACTGCTGGACATTATCAAACCTCTGTTTTACCAACCTGGCAATGGTTTCAAAACTCCAAGGTCCTTAAAGTCAGGATCTTAAAAATTGAGAAAGAGACAATTAGTTCTATTCCGCATGTATTCCTTGCTGTAATATTGAGTAACATTCCATCAAATAATCCAGGAAGCAGCCTGGATATACATCAGGAGAATTAAAGTGATAAAATAATAAGTACATGATAGCATTAACTCATTAATTTCAGGTGTATGTCATCATAGCCATATGTCACTACTGGTTTTATCCTCACTACAAGAGGAGCTGCTTTAAACCTTTAGCAACATTGCTGTATCTTAAGTTCAACTTATGCTATATTCTTGTACAGTATTACCATGGGGAAAATGGTGGTTTGCATCACTCCTACATATATATAATTTGTATTCTAGTTCAAAAGATTATGTAGCCTGTTGAAATGCATTCTTGCCTAGTGTTTTAGTGGCATGGAGGTCATGAAAGAAAGCGAAAATCTTTTCCCTCTGTGTGTAAGACTTGTCTAGTTTTCCTGACATCTCTGATTTATCATGATGGCTTTTTATAGTATTTCTATCTTCTCTACTTTTTAAACTTAACATCCCCTTTATCCTATCTCATTCTTTGTGAACCCAGTCTCAGTAACCAGTTCCTATTAGCTTATTTTCATGCTTCATGGTAAGTTTGATTTTTCATAAGCTGTGCAAATATCCTTATTAAAAGTAAACCTGATGTCCTCAATCCCATTTCTTGGATTTGGTTGTAAAGTAGGAAGACAGGCCATGGGATATAAAGTTGAGCTCGAAGAGTGCATCTGAGAATGTTTCCCCAAGAATATACAAGAAAATCTGTAGCTCTTGTTATTTCAGAGATCCTCTGAAACCATGTGCAGTGCGCTTCTTAATGTTGGGAGATCAGAACATGAACACATCATGACGAGCTGAGTGAAACACAACCCAGATGAGGCACTTTTCTCTCATTGAAACATTATATGTCCTTAGAGCCTGGTCTATTTGAATAGAATCTCCTCTAACTTGTGCTAAATTTACTAATGACTGTGTCATCATGATGTATGCTTAGAGACATTGTGTGAGTAATTTAAAGTTAATTGTGGAATTTAGGGTGATATTTCTTATAATAAAACAGATACTGGATAAGATTTAGAAGTATTTTGCTGCCCAAAGGTGAACTTGAATTGAAGTATGAAAAGTCACTGTTCATTACTGCAAGAATTAGGTGTACATATTAAGATCATGTGAGTGTATGTAACATCATTGTTCAGGTGCACCTCATCCTGTGCCCTTGTAGGTGAGCATACTAAATGTGCATGATCAGGCTTGTGTTCGGTTCTCATTGTTTGTTTTCTTGCAGTTAAATATTGATGTAAACTGGTCTATGGAAGGTGAGAGATGTAGTACCAACCACGGTATTTCCCAATTGTTTCAACTATTTTCACTACTAGAATTTATGTACATGTATTGAATCAGCAAAACCAAAATATTTTAACCAAGCGACCATTTTTCCTAGAACTATTTGAAAATAGTCCTGTTAGTTTTATGGGACAAATAAAATGTCTGTATATAATTTACTTGGAAAATAAAGAAAAAGGCATATATATCATTTACATTAAATTATTTATCAGTAGTATTTTTTTCTTTCTTCCTTCAGCATCAATGTGCATCTCACTATTCTTCCAATAAATACATATTAAATGTCTGATGTGTATAAGAAAACAGCTACATTTTATGTAAAATTGCTCATGTTTTCACCATTAAGCAGTTCATTGGTATGGAATAGAGTCATACATATTTTCTGGAAAAGTCAAACTTTTGAATACACTGTGATTTTACACAATTGCACTCGAACACTCTATACTCAGAGGATGGGAATGACTTTAAGTTCAATGATATCTTGGTCTGTGCAAGTTCTAGGGCTATATAGTCATGCCTCATCTCAAAAAATTAATAACTAGAATAAAACCAAGAATATGCTTGTATGGCACAGATCATTTGAAGAAATTTATTTGACAGGATAAAGCCGTGAATTTAATTCTCCGGAGCAACACCAAAAAATATTTACATCTAAAACTAAGACTGCCCACTTTTGATGTCTAGATTTTTATTATGCATTTGGCCTCTACTTAAATACTATCTCTTAAAAATGAACATTACCACCTTTATGATTAGAAAGTTTCAGACGCACATGGCTGTCTTGTCTACTATTGGGGGAAATTAAGTTAATGTTCTATCTTCCAGTTTGAAGGGAAACATTTATCACTTTTATAAGTCATGCCACATCAGGTTGATATTAATGCCAGCACTGAGAAATGAACATTTATTTTTGTCTTTGTATTAACAGTGATAGGAATGATGGCTCAAAATACTTTTGAAAAATATTGTTTTGCAGTTCTGTTTGGAATACTATGATTATAAATTCCTCATATGATCCAAAACAAAACAATCCAAAACACAATTGAAGCAGCCTAAATTAGATTTAAAAGCAATAAATGACTGATTGTTCAAGGTTATTTGAGACAGACAAAAATTATTATGTAGATGCACAGTAAAGTTGAACCTAATAACCAGTTTCTACTCTCTTGGTATCTCTCAAAATGTGCTCTCCACAAAGCAACCTGAATTAATTTTAAAAATATAAATGAAGTCATAATAGTTACTTTAGTATGATCACAGTTTATCTGTCCCTCATAGGGCCACAGAACCCAAAGCTGGCCCTACTGTCTTCCCACACTCTTATTTCCTCCAATAGTAAAATCCCAGAAAAGCTTTCCCAGACATCCCCGTATCAGGGAGCATTGTCTCTCATTTTCTTTTCATTAGAATTTGCATTATGTTTCCCTATGCTTATGTTTTTACTGTCTATTTACGTGAGCCCATAACAAATTCGACTCTATGAGTTAACATGCTTACTGGGCATCACAGGTGGTCAATAACATTATTGAATTAATAGTGATTCTATATATACAGAAAAATTCATCAAACTATTCCTACTGGACTGTTCTGTATTTATGTATGTTCGTAAGCTCTTAAACTTTAACTTTTCCTATCCATATGTAGGCTCAAGCTCATAGACAGGCTTTCACTGTAAATAAATACAATGGTGTGGATGCCCTGTTAGCAATTAAATAATGATGATATTCACTTGTTAGACATATAGGTGTCCTTCATTTGCCGAATCTCTCAAACAGGCAGATTGTCACATAACAATCCTGGCCCATAACATTATAAGGAAGGTTTAACTTTGTGAGTTGGGCGTATAAAACCTTTCAAAGAATTTCCCCAGATTATTTTCCTACCTTGATCAATCTTAAAACAAGTATCTACCAAATGTGTCTAACTCTGTCAGTTTCTTATTCACAGCTAGTTTTTTTTGTGGTTCATGCATATATACACATACGTACAAAATCAACGGATGCAAAGAAAAAATGCACGATACATTATAAACATCAAATTCCATGTTATGACTTAAGTGTGATTATAGAAATCAAACCATTTGTTGGTGTTTCCAAAAATGCCCTTTCGATTACAAATATATGCATGTTAAGAGACTAGCTCACTTTATTTGGTGGTTTTAGAAGACATTTGCTGCTTTAAGCTTTCCTCATTGTAGCAACTATGGCATTAGCATAGTCTAAGCACCATTCTGCTATGCTGAACTATAAAACTTACTCTTCCACTTACATGAAGAAAAACAAATATTAATATTTTTCTGCCCATGTTTTAAATTTATCTATCCATCTGTGTGTTTGCCTGTATATATAAATTGAAACCTCTTATAGTGATTACATTGAGTCCATTTGTTAGAACACTTAGCTTACACTGCATAGCTTGTGCTAAACATCTATTTGTATTAACAGCTCAAGAGCCATAGTGTTTCAAACAAAAAGGTGCTTAGCAAGGACCCCGGACTACAGGACAAATCATGGCAACTAGCATCCATGGTACAATCTTTTAAAGATAAGAATTTACTTAAGGGTACTTGATGAAGCACAGAAAATTGTCTATTTTAAATGTGTGAACCCTAGTAGAAGTGTCTTAATATTCTATAGTGCAAAATGTAAACTATCAATAGACATTTTTGCTTCAAACTGTCTTTCTTTAGAAAATTACATTCACAGATGTTTACACTGTGAGCTGGTGTGTGTGTGTGTGTGTTGTGTGTGTGTGTGTGTGTGTGTGTGTGTGTGTGTGTGTTTTACTCGTGGAACATCAATTTTACTTGAAAGACAAATTGTAATTATTCAGATTTAGATACTTGCCAGACTTTTTCTTGAAAATGAACAGAATGAAAATCTGTTGATTTGAAAGAAAACAACTGACGGTGTTGCCAATGATTTAATTCAGACTACAGTGAAGAGAACACATTTGTCATTGCATGCCTGACAGCTTTCCAATACTTGGAGAATTTTAAAGTAAGGTGTTTTTCAATATGATATAATATGGATTTGATGTTTCATATGTAATTGTGTCAACATTTTACAGTTCTGCACATTAGTAATCTGAAGACTGCCCAATAAGACACCATGCAGATTTAAATGACCCTGGAAGGATTTGCACAGATACATGGCCTATTATAAGGAGAAAGCACTTGTATGTCATTAATGTATTAGAATAAAAACATCATTGATGTAGCTTCATGGTTCTTATTGTGGTTAAGCATTTTAAAACAATAACCACTGTAAAGACCATTAAATTACTTTTCCCTTTATCCAGAAGATATCTCTATAAAGTTAGATTCTCTCTGTAATGACTGTGAACAAGGAATGTCATAAAGCAGATGTTGAAGCCTATTCATCTGAGAATGAGGGCAATATATTTATAAAAATATAAAAATCAGTGTCGTTTTTCAACTAAAATGTCAATGGTATTTTAATGTATGCCCTGTGTTCTAATTCACAATTGACTTACTGGAGTAAATCAATTTGTAGGTAGATTTTTAAAAAAGTATTCCCAACTTAATTGAATAATTTGTCAAACATTGAATAATACAACTGTTGCTCCATGCTCTTTGAGGATTTTGATAATTTTTCAGAGAAGAATGACAATCTCTAGA